TGTACAAAGTTACAAACCTTTTCATACATTTATGAGCTTCAGAATTTAACTGGGAAAGTGTAGCCCAGCCCTTTATCCCTTTGCACTGCATGGAGAGAAATGGCTAAAGCAACCACCGCCGTCTTCTGTTCTATGAGCACTATGAGCACGAAGGAACATCTGTTCTCATTTGGGCCACTCGCCCTGGTCAGTGGGAGGCTGCCAGATCCCCCTGGGACGACAATGGCAGAGGCTGCACAGCTTCCTGAAGGTTCCTGAAGACAGAGGTGCCACGGCACCATCCGAGGGCAGAGAGTCAGGCCAAGGGCAATGACAGAATCTTCTGGAGACCGCACAGCGACCTACCCATCTGTGTGACCCACACCCATCACTATCTTGCATTGGGCACATGTCTTGCCCAGGGCAAGGAAAGTTGAGGCCTGCCCTTACAGTGTGGCCTGGATGCAGGCCTGAGAACACAGTCGACTTTGGCTTTGCTTGGAAAGCTCCATCATAACTCCCAGCCCCTCCAGAAGATGACTGTCTTCTCAGCTGGAGCCATGTGACTCAAGAGAGGTTTACTGTCAGAGCTTGCTGTTCTTCTGAAACTGGGCCACTAGGCTGAGGACCTGCTCAGAGGCTTTGATGTTCTTGGAGCCGAGGTAGGAGGTGCTGTTGGGGCCGGTCTCCTCCAGGAAGTAGCGGTAGTTGGCCATCAGGCTGCAGGAGCTGGTGATGCCTTTGAGGCTCATGTCCGCCATCCAGTTGATGCGCCACAGCACTGCCCCGTTCTGCAGGTGGAAGTTGGCCACAGGGTTCAGTGCGTAGCCGCGGTGCTTCTCCCCATACAGGTACCAGGCACACAGCCTCATCAGCGGGGCCTGCAGCGCCCGCACCAGCTTCTCGGACTGCACCCACTCGCTGCTGCTGAGGCGGAGCTTGAGGGTCTCGTTAATGGGGCCACCTATGATCTCCGAGATTTCCTTACATTCCAAATCTGTAAAGAGTTCATTCCTCCCGTGCTCCTTTGTTTGCGAGCTCAGAAGCCCCAGGAGCCATTTGGTGAATCCAGGTATAGGCGACAGACTCGAAAACACCTCAAGGTGAGGAAACTCTCTCTGTAAAGCATGGTTGGGGTGGAAGGAAGGCGGAGAAAACATACATATTCAGCAGGTACGTTACCAAGAGAGGAGCACCTCTCAACCTACAGTTACTGCTGTGTAGTGGGCGAAGTGACATCCGATACATGTTATTTATCTTCTTTCAAGAAACTTGTTTTTTCCTTAGAGTCAGGGTCTTGCTCTATTGCCCTGGCTGGAGTCATCCTGCAGTGGTGTCATCCTGGCTCACTGCAGCCTCCATCTCCTGGGTCCAAGCCATACTCCTGCCCTGGCCTGCTCAGCAGCTAGGAACACAGCCATGCCCCACCGCGCCCAGCAGGGAACAGTTATCAGGAACCTGATGTGTGCCCAGCCCTGGAGGCATCCTGACTTCCTAAGGCAGGGCACCTGGGTCCCCACCACCCCTTGTCATGTCGGCAAAACCGAGACTAGTGTGTTGGGGGACTTGCCTAAAACCAGACAGCTGGCCAGTGGGGAGCAGGACGTGGGGTCCCACAGTTACTCACTGCAGACCGTGTCTGTCCTGCACACCATGCCCCTCCCATGGTTACCTCTGAGGCCCCACAAGCTGCTCTGCTGCTTGGCACATGAGTGCCCAGGGATGGATAAGTGAACGACCAGCCACACCACAGGGGGTGCACAACGGGGCAGAGAAGGCGGCTGCGGGTGTCTCTCCACATCACATGACACGGCTCAACTGTGACTGTCCTAACTATAGAGAGATCTCATTCTCATTTCCAAAAATCCACTACTTTCTGATTATAAATGTAATACATGCTCAATATGGAAATTAAAAAAAAAATTAATGACAGAAGAAAAGAAAAAGGTCATACTCCACTACACTGAGAAAACTACTGTCCACAGTTTGCTACAGTGAAGGGCTGGTATGTCTTGATGCAATTTTTGCATGGGTGAGACACTTATTCTGCATTTTGCATTATGAATTTATATTGTGAGCATTTTCTCGTTATCATTTAAAATTCAAAAACAGAGAATTTTAACCACAGAGTAATATGAAAAATGAAAAGAGAAGACTGTTATGTTCCTCACCATGTTCCTCTCCTTGAGCATTTGTGGTGGCTCCCAGGTTTTTTGCTTTTCTTTTTTGACTCAGTTGCTCCCAGGCTGGAGTGCAGTGGCATGATCTCAGCTCACTGCAACCTTCGCCTCCTGGGTTCAAGCAATTCTCCTGCCTCAGCCTCCCAAGTAGCTGGGACTATAGGTGTGCACCACCCCACACAGCTAATTTTTGTATTTTTAGGAGAGACGGGATTTAACCACATTGGCCAGACTGGTCTCAAACTCCTGACCTCAGGTGATCCGCCTGCCTTGGCCTTCCAAAGTGCTGGGATTATAGGCATGAGCCACCATGCCTGGCTGCGTTCTACTTTTGTAAACCCGGATGAGCGCCTCCCTGCAGAGGGGTCATTCACTCCCTTCTAGACTCCCTTTGAGGACTCTACACTGGCTGCACAGGGGCAGGTAAGTGGCACCCTCAAGAGAGCTACTGGGCTAAGGCCCGACTCCCCCAAATCCCGGGATCTGCTCCTCCTCTTCCTGCCTTCCTTACCCTGACACATTGTCCTTCCCTGCCCTGCTCATTACCACCCTCAGCTAAGATAGAGGAACAAGGAAACTGTGTGAATGAGAAATGGCTTATTGCTACCCAGGGGAAATATGGCTGCATGTTAATGAAGCCAACACCCAGTCTAATCCTGAGGGCTTCAATTTGAAATTGATTATGAATTTATGAGGAGCGTGTAAATGTCCTCACTGCACACTGTCACCCTCTAAGGAAGGGCTCTGCTGCAGCTATCTGCGGCCCCAACACAGAGAGTACCCTGCTCAGAGCCAGTCGTTAGCAATCATCTAGCTACTGCAACTATGCACTAGATTCTACACATCTGAGTTTATTCAAACCCCTGCTGAGGTTGGTAGTTTCTGAAAGCCTAGGCCCAGAGTGAATTTCAACCTTTCTGTTGTAGGATGGCTCATGTGTTTTTCACAGGGCAGCAAAGCGAAGGGAGTTAGATCAAAACTGAGCCGAAGCACCTACCTTTGAGCCATCTGGTCTAACCTGAGCACCCCCTCACAGGCTGTAAGAAGGCCCACGCTGACAGCATGTCAGGCACCAGAGACCCCGAGAGTGTGGGCAGGGGCAGGGGGAGGTCTGACACGGCAGGATGACCACCAGCTGTGCCATCTGGCTGGGACACTTGAGAGTGACACTTACACCAGGACACATGAAATCAAGAGCGTCCTGAGCAGATCACAATGAGGTCGCCCTAGAGACAGCTGATGACCTCAGAACACAACTGCATCTTGCTGGCAACTGCACAGCTGGGCTGGAGGCCTCATTTCAGCATCATTCTCATCTCTCTGGGAGACTCATGGCTCCTAGGAGCTGCTGAGGGGCCGCTGGCACCCCTTCTATGCCCTGCCTGTCCCTTTAGCTCCTGTCTTCATCTGCGTCCCTCATGGCACCTGACACCTCACAAGGTTTGCTGACCTGACCACATGAAGCCAAGTGTGACTGGGCCTCGCTGCGTGTCACTTACCTGCAACTCCTTGACGACTCGCTTTATGAGGAATGTTCCCAGCTCCACCCCCTGGAGCCCCTGCTGGGTCAGACTGATAGAATAAAAGATGGCGGCGGCAATTCTGCTTTTCTCTTCTGTTTCTGATGGAGGACTTTCCTTCACGATTGCCTGGAAAACACGGACGACGGTTCTTAGGACAGCCTGGACTCTCTGCAGCCCACATGGCAACCCTGTCGCTGGGGCCAGAAGACAATTCTCAGAGCACTGAAAGAGATTGCAGAGAACTCGGCTCCCCAGCTGGGGTTCAGGCTATGGAGCCTAAAAGCTGCTGTTTTGAAAACTCTACAGGAAAATGTCCTCAGCCTCCTCGGGGTCCACAGGGCTGCATTGTTTGTGCCATTTTGCAATGTTCATGCAAACTTTGTGGAAGAGCAACGTACGTCCCTTTCTGTCTCTTTTAAGCCTTTGTGCAAACAAAAATGTGCTCCATAAACTCTCCTGCCGACACTCAGCGCTAACCCGCTGATCCTAGGGACCAAAGAGCTTCAGTTCCTTCAGCTTGTCCTTAAAGTCCTGGTGTTTTATACCATTTAATTGTCGTTCCTCTTTTTCTCTGAACCCTAGTTTTTCACATTTCTCAAGAGGCCATACGCAGTCCCAAATCATTTTCTTTTAGGAAATTTACCTTTGTTTGAATTTTTCATGTCCCTTTTCGGTTTTGTGCCATCTCTGTTTTTCCTTAATGGCAACACACATTTGCACAGATGTACACACGAGGCAATCTAAGAAACGACCTAGAATGTAAGCTGCTTCATTGAAGTCTGAGTTTACTGCCTCTCATTTTTGACTGCAGCGTTTTCTAATCCCCCATACTCTGAAGCATAATCCTTAATACTCTAAAGGTCACTTGATAACAGTGGAATAGCAGGATTACCTTTTTGTTTGCTTCGAAGCAAGTACACTAGCTTACTTTTGAAGAACCAATTTAAACTGTTTTAACTTCTACCAGCTACCTCTGATTCTGGAAGAAGTATTTAGCTCAGAGCGCATACATCAGGTCTGGCAGTCAGTCCACGAACTTTCTGAAACTGTCTATGGAATGTGTGACTCTATGCACACCTGCCCCGAGGAAAATGTCCTCAGCCTTTTTTCCCTTTAGATTCTCAACAGGGTCTGTGACTCCTACGAAGTTAAGCAACACTGCTGTGAGAAAGCGGGAGAGCTCATGACACAGAGGAGACATCCTCCGATGCCCGTGCTGGGCCTGCTGTCCTACACTGCACTCTGTGGAAGAGCCCAGGGGCTCAAAGAACAGAGCTCACTTCACATCACTCCCAGGCTTATCTCCTTTTTTTTTTGAGATGGAGTCTCGTTCTGTTGCCCGGGCTGGAGTGCAGTGGTGCAATCTTGGCTAACTGCAACCTCTGCCTCCTGGCAAGCGATTCTTGTTTGAACCTCAGCCTTCCAAGTAGCTGGGATTACAGGCACCCGCCACCATACCCAGCTAATTTTTGTATTTTAGTAGAGATGGGGTTTCACCATGTTGGCCGGGCTGGTCTGGAACTCCTGACCTCAGATGATCTGGCTGCCTCGGCCTTCCAGAGTGGTAGGATTACAGGCGTGAGCCACTGTGCTGGCTCTCCTTTTTTCAAGAAGTCTGCAAGTTACCTTGTGATTCCTTGTGCAAAAATCCCAGCAATGTTTTTTTAAAGTTTTCAAAATAAAAACAAAACTTTCTTTAGTTATACAAGGGAGGTTTGTGTAACATCAAAGAGGCAAAAAAAATTTTTTTACAAGGCAAAATGAATAAAACAAACAAAAAAGAGAAAAAAAATACATGCATAAAGAAAAAATACTAAATTAGGCCTGGCATGGTGGCTCACGCCTGTAATCCTAGCACTTTGGGAGGCCGAGGTGGGTGGATCACCTGAGGTCAGAAGTTCAAAACCAGCCTGGCCATCATGGTGAAGCGCCATCTTTAGTAATAAAAATAAATAAGTAAATAAAAAAGAAAAAATACTAAATTACTCCAAAACCTAATCCCCATGCCCGCTGCTGCTGACCTTTTCATGCACACCTTTCCAGGTCTGTCTCATAGCCTCCCAGTATGCACACTGTTAAATACATAGGACTGCAGACCCACGCATATTCTCATGTGTCCAAATAACTATGCGCAATTCTACACATATGGAAGACACCTTCCCCTTAGAGTCAGGATGTGGGAGGGGTTTGAATTCCAGTTCCACCCTTACTTGCTCTATGATCATGGGTAAGTTACAAATGTTCCCCTAAGCCTCAGTTTTCTCATAATACCTAAATCACAGGCACTCTGAGCAATAACACACAAAATGTGCTTCATGGACTGACAGGCACAGAGCACATATTCAACAGGTATTATTAATATTGATCATAAGACCACGCTCTACACATGCTACTGTGTAAACTTGAACTTCACCTCAACAGTAAGTCAAGCTTGGCTTTCCATGTCAAAATATAACCCTACATCAATATTTAAATACATGACAGAAATCCGATGTACGTGAGGCCGCACCATGTGTTTACAACACACTCCTGGAGCCCATTTTCTCCTGATGGGCCCGAGGTTATCATCCACCCTTTCTGTCGGCAATGCTGCAGGAGCAGCCATCTAACTCTCAGGGCTCAGCATCTCCCCAGGAGAAGTTCCTAAGGTGGAATTTTCAGGCCAGAAGGAACACGCAATCTGAATTTTCATACATCTTGCCAAACTGCCCTCAAAGAAGTCATAATGGCCCCTCATCCCACCAACAGGGCGTCAGAGTGTGACTCCTTCAAACACAAACACTGTAAGGGGATGAGTTTCTCCTTGGTGAACAGGAACATCCGCTCGTTTGCCCTACTCAACTTCTCTAACTTCTCAGCAGGACACCTGCTTAGGGCACTCACCTTGTGCCGGACCACCGTCCACTCAGCTTTCTAACAGTCCCTCGGGTCCTCTTGGCCTGAGCAAACCTGTGCTGGCCCAGGGGTCTCAGGCTCCCTGCCACCTGCCTTTAGCGCTCCTATTTCCAGACCCTGCAATGTGGTCCCTTGTTCTTCTGCCCCCCTGGGCCTGCAGGAGCATTTCAGACATTCTTGCCAAACTCATCCAGGAGCAGAGCAGCTTGCCACGGGACGGGGCTATCAACCACAAGTGCCATAACCTGCACTCACCAGGCAGTGTCCTGGGCCCAAATCACGCATGAGGGATGGAGCGTATCTTTCAATTTTCCAATCAAGTCTCTTTCAAAACTCCCCACAGGCATTTAACAAAAGCTGTAAAGGAACCATGTATGAACCAGGTATCCCGTCTCTTCTTCCTTCACAATTACTTTCTGCCTCACAAACGTGTTCTGTGAGAGACTTTAACTTTTCTCAACCCAAGGTCAACACAGCCAGATGAACGCCGTCCTTGCTCCGTAACTGCCTGCCTGCTACACTTCTACACTCTATACCTACACATCTGGAGACTTTATTTAAGTAATTAAAAAGCCCAAAACCATTTATTTTCAAAAAAAGAGGATAAAATCAAGTAAAAACAAAAACACAACTTAAGGGACTTTGTGGGATGCCTATCTTGTCCCAAATTGACCATCACAGGTACCTGGATGTTGCTGGAGATGTCACCGGTCAGTGCCACATGCAGAACAACCAGGGGCTCCCCAGGGGTGGAACAGTGAGAAAAGAAGTAACACCTTCTGTAGGGCCCAACGCGGCGCTTCATGTCCATCCAACTTTTTACAGGGTGCACGGCCTCCGACCTGGGGTGAAATTTGTAAAGAGGTAAGACAAACGTAAAATTCACAACTTAAATAACGGTTTATGACTCCTATTCACATTATTCATCTAAGTCAAATTTTTTTAAATAGAGCTTTAATGGAAAGAAAGTCATTTTAATGAGAAACAGAACCCACTGAGAGGAACTACAGTGAATGACCATTTTACAAACAAAATTGTGCTCCAATTTTAATCCCAATTTTAAGAGGAGTTTGTGAGGCTCTGGGGAGGATTCACGCAGCAAGTTTTCATGCGAAACCTAATCAAACGCTTGGTGTTGGACACTGCGTCTTTTCTTTCCTTGGGATCTCTGTGAAGCGCTGTCAGTGCTGCAAACACTGGGCGGATCTGGTTTCTTCTGTCTAGCAACCTCACCCACCACTACTGTGTTTTTAGCATGTGAAATGGCAGCAGGCACCATCAGCCCTTTGAATTGGTTACATTTCCAAGAGTAGGACACTTTTCAAACCTTGGATTTCGTGGGACTACATGTAATGTGAAGACGCTTACTCACAAAGAGTCCCGGGTTGTGAGGCACCATGGCACGTTGCCTGTGTTATATTGCGTCCTGGATGTAACACATGATACAGTTTGTTGAGAGACTTTAACCTAGGGAGACATCTTAACAACCAGGTGGGCTAAATGTTGTTTTGATTATGAATGCCAATGCTTGGCCCAGTGAGTTTCTACAATTCTGATCATGGGGTCTTGGGAAGATAGAAAATGGGCCTGTTTGCTTTAAACAAGAGGACACAAATAAGACCCCACGTACAGCTCACTGAGAGAAGCATCAGTTTCTCCTGGTGCCCTTTCCTCTTCCTCCGTGATCTTAGTGTCATGTGTGGTGACAGTCACATTTGCAAATACCGTGTTCAGATTTTATTAGACTTGAAATAAACTGCACATGTGAAGGGAGATAGACTGGCTTTTAGCCAATATAAAACACATATAAATATACATGAAAAATATCTGCACAAAGCAAATGAGAACCTGAATACTTACTCACTGATTTTCTGCAGCACTTCACAGGGTGAATGCCAGGTAACACGCTCCAGGTTAAGGAACCCGGAGGAAAACCACTCTGACAGCATTCCTTTCAGTACCCCGTTCATCTCCTGAAAGGAGAAGACACAGGCCTTCAGTGTACAGCAGATCAAGCCCAGCTCTGTGCTGTGGCCAGCAAAGGGAACAAAAACGCGCCAGCATGATACGGAAGACAACTGTGCAAGACGATCCTCCAAACAGCTTTTCCCAAGACTCCTCTGTCACACTCTCATCTCAAACCAAGTCAGGCTTTAATTCAACTCTCGATTTAGATGTAACCACTTCAGTCTGTAAGACTCCTGAATGGAAATAATTCAATTTGAGCTAAGTTGCCCAAATCAAACAGTATGTTCCAATTCATTTACCAGAGTGAGCATTCTAATTACATGAAGTTAACATAACAATGGAAGATACACTGTAAGAGAAACCTAAGACAGACAGCAAGGGGTCAACAGCACTGTCCGCAGCCTCTTGGGAACCTTGATATGTCAAAACATTACTCCTGCTTTTCCTTAGAAAAACAAGTACTTGGTCCAGGAGCCCTATTTCATCAACTTGGAGATGTACATTTTCATATTTTAACATCTCTTACATCAGGATGCATCTTTTGAATGATGGCGGGTCACAGTCTAATTGGCAGCATTTCCATTTTTTTTGAGAGACGGGGTCTCACTCTGTCACCCAGGCTGGAGTGCAATGGCATAAACACATCTCACTGCAGCCTTGACCTCCTAGGCTCAAGTGATCCTCCTGTCTCAGACCCCCAAGTTGCTGGGACTACAGGTGAGCGCCACCACACCTGGATAATTTTCGTTTTATTTTTTGTACAGATGGGGTGTCACCATGTTGCCCAGGCTGGTCTTGAGCTCCTGAGCTCAGGCAATCCACTCGCCTTGGCCTCCCAAGTACTGGGATTACAGGCGTGAGCCACTGTGCCCTGCCATAACTGGAAGCATTTTTAATCTACCTTCGAGGGACACAAAATAAGAGTGTATCTGGCAACCAGTGCATTTCAGAGTTGATGAAATCACCCTAATTTTGCTTCACTTATTTATAGCGTATCTACTTCCCCAAATGTTGTGAGTTGACTTGACCACCCAAGATCCATCAGCACTGAAGCCTTTCAATCAAGAGCAGAAAAACACAGGCACCGGGCAGGAGCAGCGCCATCTCAGTGTTGCCTGCATGGCCACAACCTGTTGGTCCCAGTGGCTGTATTCCTTTTCTTCCAAATTAACAGAAGCCTCACTTTTCAGCTAGGGACACAGCTGTCCAGTATAAAAACTGCACTGCAGCTGGGGGGCAGCCATGTGACAGATTTCTGGCCAATGAGGTGTAAGCAGCATTCTCCTGCAGCCACTTTGGGGAACTTGAAAAGACAGCAGGAGCCTGCCCTTGGCCCATCTTTTTGTCTTTTCCACTGCAGACTGGAAGGCGGTGTGATGGCTGGCACTGGAGCAGCCAGCTTACGCCATGACGTGACTTTGGAGATGAAGGATTTTCTGGGCAGAGCAACAAGATTCAAGTCTGGATCCACCAAGGACACCAAAGAGCAGAATCAGCTCTGGGCTGCCTACCTGTAGACTTTCACATGACAGACAAAGTTTGTCATATTCAAATCACTGTTATTGTGGGCCTCTGTTATTCATAGATGAAATATATATTAACAGATCCACTGAACATTACTAGTGAATAACAGTAAACACCTCAGGACATCCATTACAGGAACGACCTTCTGAATCTCTGTATAAGGGTCATAAAGAACATGATGGGCAACAAATACAAAGAATGGCTTTACAACAGCTATAATTTTTTCTTTTTTTTTTTTGACAGACATTGTCTTGCTCTGTCCTGGGCTGGAGCGCAGTGGTACAATCTCGGCTCACAGCAACCTCCGCCTCTTGGGTTCAAGCGATTCTCCTGCCTCAGCTTCCAAATGTTGTAAGACCATTTCACATTTTAATTCCTGTTAAAGGGTGACGGGACTCAAAACTGTTGCCTGAGGAAGAGTTGCAGGTTTTGGGATGGTGGCTCAGAGAAGTTTTTGGAAGGAGGTGAGAACTACCTTCATATGTTTAATCATTAGGGCACGAAAGACACCACAAATTTGTTCTGTGTGGCCCCACAGGGGCCAGGGAAGTAAATCTAGGACCAACTGGTGGACGTCATGGACAATCAGACTTGGACTGAATTTTGCATAAAGAACTTTTGAATAGCCAGGGCTGTCTACAGAGGTCATCCTAGAAGATGGTGAACCTCAGCACTGGAAGTGACTGAGCACAGGTGGACAGAACTCAGCAGAGCTTTTTAAAAAGGATTTAAGCATCGGACAGACAGCTGGATCAGATGATCTCTGCAATTCCTTTTAACTCTACATTCAATAACTGAATGTCCTTTACTTGGTTGTAAACTCCATCAAGGCAGAGTCCATTTCTGATTCATTCCTGCAGTTCCCAAAACATTCACTAATAGAATAATATCCGATGGAAAAATGGAAAGAATGTGATTAGAAAGTAGCAGGAGGGGAGGATGAGAGAGATCGTTTGCTGGGTGACACAGAATGGCCCTTTATGAAACTGCATTTTCTGCATTTGACAACAGTGCTTCTTAGTCTTCTAGGATCCTCACACACTTGAGTATGTGCTAAAAACCACAGGCCCCATCCCCAGAACACTGCAAACACGTTTTCCTGGGGTCATGGACTCCTCTGATACTTATCCACGGACCATCCCAGAAGCCAGGGGGACTTACACACTGCAGGTTAGGAACGGGTGAGCTGAGCTCTGTGTAAGAGGTACTGGCATCTCTCTTACATCCATGATGGGAAAAAAGCTGGAAACACCCAGTTTTACTATCAATTCAATATTAATTATGAAAGAAATGGTTTGGCTGATGAAAGCTCGTCCCCTACAAATCTCTTCATTCTATTTTGGGCTCCTGACAGCCACAAAATGTGACCCTGGTACATGAGAACTGGGAATCTAGGCTAAAGGTGAGAAGTATCCGTTGCTCAGTTCTAACAGCAGCAGCAGCTGCTCAGGCTGGAATGAACCACAGCACGTGGCAAGGTTGCCAGGATACAAACAACACCAAGGAAAGAAGCCTCCTCGACTGTACGTGCATTAATTCAGCCACCATTTATCACCAATACAGGACTGAGAAACACAACTGCTGGGAATATCCTGGTGATGCTAAGGTAAGCGACAGTTCTCAGTTGATTCTGCTGGAGTGCGTCTTATTTTTTTTTTTTAAAGACAGGTCTTGCTGTATTGCCCAGGCTGGACTGAACTCCTGGGCTCAGCTGAACCTCCCAAATAGCAGGGACTACAGGTGCGTGCCACCGCACCTACCTCTGTGTATTCTGTATTGTTAATTCTGTTGTCTTGTACGATGCTGCTTAGACCAGCCAACCTTTCCTTTTAAAAGAGAACTCGGTTCCCTCTCTTTTGAAGATCTATCAAGATCTGCCTATTTTGGGTATGTGAAGAAAACCTACCTTCCCTTGTCCAGAAGCCCTGAGCTGGGGAAGGGAGTTGAAAGCCATGGATGAGGGCAGCCCTGCAGAGGCTGAGAAACTTGGGGACAATTCCCACTCACATGAGCTGCCACTCTGCAGGTGTACACTTCATACTGGGGTATACTTTCCTATCTAAAAATAAGTATTATTTAGCATAGCTAAGCACAGAATTTACTAGAACCTACAAGGCATACTCTGTTAATTAAAAGGCAGAGGAAACACAATTGTTTAGCATGGCCGGGTGGCTGTGGCAGTAGGAACACGTCCCTTCTCTAGTTTCTGTGCCTCTGTTAAGGTTCGAGCACCTCTCATTTCACCCTAACTCCAAGGTCCAAACCGCCCATCGGGGACCCTTTCCAAGAATTAATGGTCAACCTCCCTCAAGTGGCCACAAATTGCTGAACCTTGCTCAGGCCTTCCCCTCTACTGGGGATTCAAGTTGGTTTCACTGGGATTTCACCTCTAAGAAACTGAAGTCATCAACCCACTGGGCCTCTGCAGAAAAAACAAAAGCCTATAAACCACCACCCCCCAAACACATACACTGCATCCTCCTACCCACACTTACCATGAAACCACAGGGACACAAATACCCACAAACTCCTCTATGTTCGTTCAGGAGGACACACATCCAGACACGGTAACGAGCCTCCAAACTCACTCAGACCAGAGGAAAAGAATCTTTTCAAAAGTAAGAACACAGCTGGGTGCAGTGGTTCACACCTGTAATCCCAACACTTTGGAAGGCTGAGGCAAGTGGATTATCTGAGATCAGGGGTTCGAGACTAGCCTGGCCAACATAGTAAAACCCCATCTCTACTAAAAACACAAAAATTAGCCGGGCATGGTGACAAGTGCCTATAACAGCTACTTGGGAGGCTGAGGTGGGAGAAGTGCTTGAAACTGGGAGGCAGAGGTTGCAGTGAGCCGAGATCACGCCATTGCATTCCAGCCTTGGCAAGAGAGAGAGACTCTGTCTCAAAAAAAGAAAGAACATTTCAAAGGGAATACTTCTTTTCCTGATATAATTATGCCGCTTTATAGATTTGTCTTTTTTTGAGACAGAGTCTCACTCTGTTGCCCAGGCTGCAGTGCAATGGTGCGATCTCAGCTCACTGCAACTTCCACCTCCCAGGTTCGAGTAATTCTCCTGCCTCAGCCTCCCAAGTAGCTGGGATTACAGGTACCTGCCATCATGACTGGCTAATTTTTGTATTTTTAGTAGAGAGGGTTTCACCATGTTGGCCAGGCTGGTCTCGAACTCCTGACCTCAGGTGATTTGCCTGCCTCAGCCTCCGAAAGTGCTGGGACTACAGCATGAGCCACCAAACCTAGTGCTTTATAGATTTTTCTATCACTCCCCACACTAAATTATTTCTTTATCATTCTCTTTTCTACAGATTAAAATTGAGTTTTGTGATCACAGTAGTCAGGGATATTGACAAATACCCTCTCTACAAATTCCTTAATTATTAAAACAACTAAAATTTTCTCTTGGAATAAATCTATTAAGATCAATCCACTTATTATAATCCAAGGAGCTCAACAAGTCTACATGAGATGAACATAGCATAGCATAGAAGTGAGAACGTAACACGCATCAAGGCATCCGATAACAGGGACCTCCTACTATCCTTGTCATTAATCATGGACAGGGTCTACCTTCTCCATGCACTGGGTTTGCTATCTAGACAAACACCACACAGACACTTGGCCATTGCACACTGTGGAAACTTTCAAATAGCACTTGTTTCTTCCCAGCCAGGAGACCTGATACTGGGTCTGAACTTTGTATCAAAAAGGATAATGACTCCCCAACATAAAGAAAAGATACCTTACCTGATCTGAAATATCCAAGGAAAGAGAGGTATGCCAGCCCCGTCACATGCCTCCTGTCCTCATGCTGGGCTATGCTCATGAAGGAAACACCAATCTTTCGGATTCATGAATTTCCAATAATCCCAATCCCTGGTCAGAGACCAAAGTCTTGACAAACCATGCCCTCATTTTTATACCATATTTTAGCAAAGCTCCAATACACTTTTCTTAGAGGACTGGAAGGCTGCCTCTCAGCTGACCAACAATCAACTGATTTTCTCCCCTTAATGCAGTGTCAATCGGCCCAGGAGGGTTCAATAAGTTGGATAAAAACCACCTAAACTCACTTCTCTAAACAATGGATGGCAAAGACCGGCCTGGAAACGACCTCCCTTCCCGGTCTCTTGCTTCTTCCACTATGCCCACCATCCTGTAACACACATGGCATCAGCTGGGTGCAGTGGCTCACAACTGTAATCCCAGAACTTTGGGAGGCTGAGGCGGGCGAATCACAAGGTCAAGAGTTTGAGACCAGCCTAGCCAACATGGCGAAACCCGGTCTCTACTAAAAATAAAAATAAATTAGCTGGGCATGGTGGCGGGCACCTGTAATTCTAGCTACTCGGAAGGCTGAGGCAAGGGAATCGCTTGAGCCCGGGAGGCAGAAGTTGCAGTGAGCCAAGATCATGCCCCTGCACTCCAGCCCGATTGAGTGTGAGACTCCGTCTAAAAACACACAAACAAACAAAAACCCACACAGCATCAGCATCATTCTGTGGCGTCACATTTGCCACTTATTCTAAAAGTGCCTTTGCACCTATAGTATTCAGTAAGAAAAGAACCTGAGCAGCATCACACAGTGAACTACATCAGGCCCAGGGAAACGCTCAGGTCCAAGCCCACAGGAGCTCTCCTATAAAATAGCGCATGATCATATGGGCTTATCTAGCACGTGCGAAGGCCAAAAGAAGCCAGGCAAGTAGACACCTGTGTGGCAGGGCTCACTGTGCACATATCCAGGGTGCCGAGACAGGGGCAACCTGGGAGTGAGACCCCTGCTCCCCTGAGAGCACTCAGCACTTAGGAAAGCCCTTGGGGGTCTGGGAAGCCTGCAGTAAAGCTTCGTGTGCCAAACTTCTGGTGTTTTCTAATGCTGGATCCCTTAAAGCAAAAAGTTCTAGCTGAGTCACCTCATTAATGTGGATGCAAAATCCAGACTGAGGTAAAAGGAATGGAATCAAAATGGACTCCACACCAAACCCACAGAATGTTCAATACTGCAAGTGAATGCTAATGTCTACTGGGGACTTGGGGTGACAAGGATGTGTCAGTGTATCTTCCTGAGTTGTAACTAATGTCCGGCTCTGTTGGGGGATGTTGATAATGAGGGGAGCTATGCCTGGGTGATGGCAGGGGGTATAAGGGAAATTTCTGTATCTTCTACTCAGTTTTGCTGTGAACCTAAAACTGCTTTAAAACAGAGTCTATTAAAAAAATGGGGCCAGGCGTGGTAGCTCACACCTGTAATCCCAGCACTTTGGGAGGGTGAGGCAGGTGATCCCCCGAGGTCAGGAGTTCAAGACCAGCCTGGCCAACATGGTAAAACTCTGTCTTTACTAAAAATACAAAGATTAGCTGGGTGTGGTGGTGGACACCTGTAATCCCAGCTACTTGGGGGGCTGGGACAGGAGAAATACTTGAACCCAGGAGGCAGAGGATGAAGTGAGC